AACCCTTCCATGGCACGTAAAGCGTCAATATAGGCGCCGAAGCTCATAACCCTTCCACAGCATCTTATGCGTTCATATAGGCTGATAAAGTGATAACCCTTCCAGAGCATGTAACGCGTCAATATAGGAGAAGAAACTGACAACCCTTCCAGAGCGCGTAAAGCGTCTATATAGGCGCAGGAGCTGATAACCACTCCGGAGCATCTAATGCGTTCATATAGGCTGATAAAGTGATAACCCTTCCAGAGCACGTAACGCGTCAATTTAGGAGAAGAAACTGACAACCATTCTAGAGCACGTAACGCGTTAATATAGGCGCAGAAGCTGATAACCATTCCGGAGCATCTAATGCGTTCATATAGGCTGATAAAGTGATAACCCTTCCAGAGCACGTGACGCTTCAATATAGGAGAAGAAACTGACAACCCTTCCAGAGCACTTAAAGCGTCAATATAGGCGCAGAAGCTGATAGCCATTCCGGAGCATCTAATGCGTCCATATAGGCACAGAAACTGATGACCCTTCCAGAGCACGTAAAGCGTCAATATAGGCGCAGAAGCTGATAGCCATTCTAGAGCATCTAATGCGTCCATATAAGCACAAAAACTGATGACCATTCCAGAGCACGTAAAGCGTCAATATAGGCGCAGAAGCTGATACCCATTCCGGAGCATCTAATGCGTCCATATAGGCACAGAAACTGATAACCCTTCCAGAGCACGTAAAGCGTAAATATAGGCGCAGAAGCTGATAGCCATTCCAGAGCATCTTATGCTTTCATATAGACTGATAGACTGATAAAATGATAACCCTACCAGAGCACGTAACGCGTCAATATAGGAGCAGAGACTGACAACCCTTCCAGAGCACGTAAAGCGTCAATATGGGTGCAGAAGCTCATAACCCTTCCAGAGCATCCTATGCGTTCATATAGGCTGATAAAGTGGTAACCCTACCAGAGCACGTAACGCGTCAATATAGGAGCAGAAACTGACAACCCTTCCAGAGCACGTAAAGCGTCAATATAGGCGCAGAAGCTCATAACCCTTCCAGAGCATCTTATGCGTTCATATAGGCTGATAAAGTGATAACCCTTCCAGAGCACGTAACGCGTCAATATAGGAGCAGAAACTGACAACCCTTCCAGAGCACGTAAAACGATAATATAGGCGCCGAAGCTGATTACCCTTACAAAGCATCTAATGCATCCATATAGGCACAGGACCAGGTTATCCTTCTAGAGTACGTAAAGCGTCAATATAAGCGCAAAAGCTGATAATCCTTTCAGAGCATCTTATGCATTCATGTAGGCACAGAAACGGATAACCCTTCCAGAGCACGTAAAGCGCCAATATAAGTGCATGAGCTGATTACCCTTTCAGAGCACGGGAGATCATCTCCGTTTCTAAATAAGGTTGTGTTGCTTTTGCTTTAGATTAGTTTGATGTGTTGTCTTCTAATATATGAATAATGTTTCAACTGTTTTATTTCTTTCGGTAGCAACTCGAAAAGAATTGTTTTCATTTAAAACTTTAGCATTTAGTTTTCTCTAAGGCGAAACTTTATAAGTACCGATGTTTTGTTTTATATTTGCTAATGTCTAACAGCTGACCCCCTAATTACTTCCTTACTTTTTGTATAAGCGTTGGCCTAAACAAATTCATTCTTATATTCAAAAATGCAACTTTTTTAAAACGAATAATGTTTTTAGGATTACAACATTGTTTTTCTGATGCATATAGATGATAGCTTTGAAAATTATCTTATTCAAATTCATTGCACGAGTCATATTTTCTTTGACTGTCCATGGCGTCAAAATACTAAATCCGTTGGATGTGTTTTAATTGATTTTAGTCTCTGATGCGTGATTTTTTGTGAATTGTTTTTAGCTTTCAGTAACTGCGAGTATTCTCAAATCGTACTTTCGTGTTGAGGTGACCTGTTGACGCAATTTGTTGTGCATTTCTTTAATTTAATGCTAACTTATTTTGTGTTATATCTCGTCTTACTATTTTTTATATGTACATGTATTACCTTTGATAAGTATTTAGTATGACGATAAATTTTCACATCTACTCGTTCTCTGAACAACAAATTCATTAATTTTGTGAATGTTTACCTGTGTCATAGTTCGTTCAGTGTACGTTTACTTGTCATTGTTTAAATGTCTTTTTGATCGAGTAATGTCTTTTTATGTTGTAGTGTTATACTATTTCTCATGTTAGGATGAAGGTTGGCAACCGTTAAAACTTTAAAACCCGCTGCATTTTCATGCACCTGTCCTAAGCAGGAGCCTGTAATTGTGAACTTTTTATACATTGTGACTTGGATGGAGAGTTGTCTCATTGGCACTTATACCACATCTTCTTGTTTAAATTTTATTTTTAGTACTAAGTTTAATATATCAAAAACTGCTCTCTTCCTAGACGAGCCAGTGGGATGGGAGCAAATAAACGATTTTATTCATAGACAAAGGTTGTCTTATTTTGCTAGGAATCAAGGCCTTGACTCAAGTAAATTATTTCGAATTGTATTTGAAGAGCTTAAGTCCTTAAAGCTTTAAAGGGGGTGGGATTATCCACAATATATGATCAATTTATTTAATATATGGTTGGTCTGGATCACTTTTACAACTCGAATATCAACTCTAATAATATATTTAAACAGTTTGTTGGAAGGTTTGTTCGTAGAAGGGAATATCAAGAAATAAATGATAAAAGCAGTCTAGATATTTTCTCCAAATTTAATTTTTTTACAAGGAAGGCAACCATATCTGTCGAACTTGCTGGACTTTAAGTCTGCAAGACTAAAATTGTTAATACGTACTAATTATTGTTTACCTATGAACAAAGTCTTGTGTAGGATGAATCTCAGCGAGAGTCCCACTTGCCAAATGTGTTTATGTAATTCTGACGAGTCTATTGAACATTTCCTACTAGAGCGTTCTGGCTTTTCTTCAATCAAAAATAAATACGTAACTGATATAAATGAATATCTAAGTTTTACTTTCCCGAGCCTCTGCTTCACAGAGTTATCGTCCTACGATAAAATACAAATACTGATTGGTGATTGTTTTTATCAGTTTGATACCTATATCAGTAAAACTTTGGACAGATTAAGTAAAAAAAATGTTGAGTGGAATGTACTCTAAGAGATCATTGGTTTTGGAACTTAAACTTTAAATGTTTTTTGTTTATGTAATATGTTTTACGTAACTCTTAGTTTAATTCATATTTTTATATTGTACATAATGTTTATTTATTTCTCTTATATAAGATGTCTTATTTAACAATGTACCATTTTTTTAACTCTGAAAATGTTATATGAATATTTTTACTTGTCTGTATTCATTGCATATGCTGTTAGACGCATCTGTGGATACCCCGTCCGCATGTGCCCCCGTTGTAAAGGGGTAGTTTCTAAATAAATATAATCCGTTCATCCTATTTCGACTATTTAAAATTCAAGAGTCTAACCTAAATTGAGGTAAATCATATGGCCTTCCAAATACTGTTTCGACCCCTAACATCACTGAAGACATTAATTGTCGAAATTCGGATATGGTGTACAAATGTTTGCACACCATGTTTGCGGTATACCATCTTCTTCGCAAGTTTATTGTTTTCTGTTTGGTATTAAATTGACAATTAAGATCCATGTTACATCTCGTGATCAATTTATTTGGCAATTGTTAATGGCAGTCAGCAGGGTTTACGAACATCAGTTGTTCGACCTGTTAGTCAAATGCGTTTTGTTAAAATATACTTTTCACTTTTTTGGTCTTTTGGAAAATGTTGTTTGTGCTGTATTTAGACCCTCTACTAAGAAATTTGTTTTACATGCACACGTTTAAAAATTGCGGTTTTTATCCAACGCAACGTTGAACGTTGAACGTTGTTTATAATTTAGACTTGTATAGACTTATATATATATATATATTTAAATCAAAATCAAAATCAGTTTCGAATCTATTGTTGTAAGAATTTTCTGGGGGTACAGCTTCAAAAAAACTTTGTTAAATAAAGCTGAATGACGGACCAAGTAACAGAGCACCTTAATCAGATCTGATCATAAACGGTAAGCACCACACATATTGTTCTTAATTAAAAAACAATTATCACAAGTCTGGTCGGCGATTGAATTTGAAATTGTAAGACAATGCAACCAAATAAATACTTATATTCGATAACTTTCCCATTATAAGAAAATGCAATAAAAGTATGAGCATTTTAAGTAATCAATTTACATCATTATATAAAAAAGAAGATGTGGTGTGATTGCCAATGAGACAACTATTCACAATGACACAGAAATTAACAACTATAGGTCACCGTACGATCTTTAACAATGAGCAAAGCCCACACCGCATAGTCAGCTATAAAAGGCCCCGAAATGACAAATGTAAAACAGTTCAGACGAGAAAACTAACGGCCTAGTTTGTGAACGAAAGAATGAACGAAAAATAAATATGTAACACAACAAACAACAACCACTGAATTACTGGATCCTGACTTGGGACAGGCACATAGCACAGAATGTGGCGGGGTTAAACATGTTAGTGGGATCTCAACCCCTTCCCAATCTGGGACTGTGGTGTAACAATACAATCTTAGAACGAACCATAAAAATAAGTTTAAAAAGGATTTACTCATCAGATGGATACAAATAGAAATACATCTAACAAAACACAGAATGGACGTGACCGAGTACTTGTACATCACAACAACAAAAAATTAATACACTAAGTACAGATCTGAGAGTACTCGAAGTTACTGACAGCTAGTTCAAAGTGCCAAGAACTTTGACTGATGGATTCGTTTTACGTTGGATGATTGCTTCTCTTCGTTTGCTTTCCTAAATGAAGGTGTTGTCTAACAGAACACCTCTCATTGGTCATCTAACAGACATGAATATGTCGCGTCAATTTTGTGGGACCATAAACTCATTTATACTCAACATAAAAACCTGAAAAATGTACTAATAATTCCTTATTTAGGAGCTGACGCCCAGGATTGTGCTTCTACAGGAATAATGTCATGCCGAATGAGTTACGACGGCGCGGTAGCAATCGCAGAAAAAGATAAAAAGATGATATGCAGGTCAGACCATTTTTATGTACTATTTTTTTATTTTTTGTTTAATTTATTTGTGTTTAACTTATTTTATATTGCTGTGAAATAATTTGATGGCCGTTCCTATGCATCACTATTAAGTATTGCCTTACGCCAATAAATGCATTAATTCCTCCATATAGCATCCAACCAAATAGATTTAGGAATATCTTAATATATGATCATATATATATTCCGATATACAATTGAGAATGGAAATGGGGAATTTGTCAAAGAGACAACATTCTCGATATAGCATGCTCCCAAATATTTTTTTAAAGATATATTCCGATGTTTAGCAAGCTGCCAAATGAAAATAAAGTGATAATAGATGCATTGAAGACCCATTGGTGGCCTTCGGCTGTTGTCTGCTCTATGGTCGGGTTGTTGTCTCTTTGACACATTCCCCATTTCCATTCTCAATTTTATGTATTCCTCTTTCACTCAAATGAAATAGGCACTGGCTAAGATCACGTTGAAATGTAACAATAAAACAAACTATTGTTGGACACTATATATATCTGCTGGATGATTTATTGGGTAAGGTACCGATTAATTACGAACGTGCAAAAGCATTTGTGTCTACGGTTACATTACGTTATTGTTACGTTAGATTTATTTAAACTTCTTCGATTATATATTATTTCCTGATTTGATATGGGTGAAAAATTTGAATGTCAAATTTTATACAGTAAATACAAACGAAGTTCGCGAAAAATTGATAATAAAAAGCAAAATTTGACAGCAATGAACTAAAATACTGCGAATTACTGTATGGTTGATTCCAATAGACGTAATGGAGAGAGATGAAATAATATTAAAAGACAACATAGAATACCTCACATGTTTCCAACAAATATTTTTGACGAAAATATAAACATTTTTAGAATGGAAAAAATATTTTTCACCTGTAGCATGGCACACATTGAAAGTTGCTATATCTTCAAAAAGGGATATTGCAGAGTGGAACTGCTTATCAAAATGAGAGGATATGGAAGCTTGCCAATGAGGCAACTCTCCATAAGAAACCAAATGACACTGATACTTGGCTGAAAAACAGACGTGCACATTGCTGCATCACTCGTTTGTGATGGCTATCTAGGGTGGTTTCACCAAACATGCGTCGGACTCGTACGCGCGCCCACAAATATACATATATATATATATAAAAGCACAAATATATACTGGATGTGTAGGCAATAGAAAATAAAATTTAAAAAAAAAAGCGTGACCGTAGACACAAATATTATTTTGACTTTCGTAATTAACTTGTTCCTGACACAACCTACCAAGCCGGCAATTAGTGTTCAATGTAACAATAACTTTTTTTATTATTGTTACATTTTAACGTAATCGTAGCCAGTGCCTAATTAAATTGGTAAACGAAAATTAATGGGAAATAATAACAACTGTGCACACGCTGAAATGTTTCGCCTTCTTTACTAACCATTGATTGTATGTTGATTGTCCTAAATATAAAGCTTTACTTCAAGTATCACATAAACTCAACGGTGATAAGAAAATGAGGTCAAAGTCATATAAACCAAATGAGAAATACATGTATACCTTACAACATTGCAGTACACCAAATATAGCTGACCTATTGCTTATAGTTCCTAAGAAACAGACTTAACCAAGAAAACAAATCATTGACCAATGAAATATGAAATGAGGTCAAGGTCAGATGAACCATGTCAGATAGACATGTACACCTTACAATCAATATATGCATTAAATATGGTGACCTATCGCTTATCGAGTTAAAGAAACAGATCAAAACACAAAATACTTAACACTGAGCAATGAACCATGAAAATGAGGTCATTCTCAAGGTCAAATAAAACATGCGAGACTGACATATACATTATGAAATATTTCCGTACACCAAATATAGTTGAACTATTGCATATAGTTTTAGAAAAAAAGACCAAAACACAAAAACATAACTTTAACCACTGAACCATAAAAATGAGGTCAAGGTCAGATGACACTTGCCAGTTGGACATGTACACTTTACAATCATTCCATAAACCAAATATAGTAGACCTATTGCTTATAGTATCTGATATATGGACTACCCCGCCGAACAATTAACTTTGTTCATTGATCCATGAAATGAGGCCGAGGTCAAATGAAAACGAGGACCTTGCAAGGTACGAACATACTAAATAAAGTGGCTGTTACCTTATTGCTCATAATAAGAAAGCAATTTAACATTACAAAAAATCTTTCAAGTAGTCACTGAACCATGAAAATGAGATCAAGGTCAATGGACATATGACAGACAGAAACTTCATAACATAGGGCATCTATATACAAAGTATGAAGTACCAGGTCTTCCGCCTTCTGAAATATAAAGCTTTTAAGAAGTTAGCTAACGCCGCCGCCACCGCCGCCAGATCACTATCACTATATCGAGCTTTCTGCGACAGAAGTCGCAGGCTCGATAAAAACCTCAATGCTATATCCAGAATACTTATAAAACAAAGTATATACGTGTATATTAATAATACATGTAGTGATTGAGTTTTTTATTACATGATTTTATTTGAAGCACAGTGCAGCAAAATCCTTTCTGGATTGTTTGAACCAAGTTGTCACTGACTGCAAATTGGACCCTTCTGTTGTAAGCAAAACAATTGCTCCTGGCAAACAGGCCCTTTCTGATAATGGATGTGAAAGTGGTATGTATGCCAAACCTTAATTATCTTTTATATCACTGGTATCCAATGATCAGTTTATAATTGAGTTTATACAATATTATGTGTTTTAAAGGAGATGTGGTATGATTGCCAAGGACAACTATTCTATATAGAGTCAAAACGATATGCTAAAGATTTATTTTTTTCCCTCTTGCAAATTATTTAAACCTTTGATTTATCTTCCATTTACACAAGGGTCCATATAATTCCAAAACTTACAATCATATTGAGAGAAGTAATCCAACTTTTCCTGAAATCATGCAAAACTAGCTACTACCTCGTGTCGGTACCACGCGCGCAGCTCAATTTTCGTACACTGCCAATTCCCGATATCATTCTTCCAGTATCAAGTGCTAATGTATTGCGATATGCTGAATTTGGATTTTAATTATAAGTACATGATTTATTTCTTATAGATCAACATGATAGGAAATTAAAGGTTCGAACACTTTTTAGAGCATGGTGTTCTTCTTCCACCTTTTTGTAACACTAGTTGTCATTCAAAAAGCCGCCAAATATTATTTTTCAATAACATGTCGGATGTTTCAAGATTTAAAACTTTGTATTTATAACAAAACAAATTTTCTTTGCAGGAAATAGTGCCGGAAGTCTTGTTTTCAACTTGGTTGCAATGGTTTCAGGACTTATATTTTATAAGCTGTTTTAGATAAAACACTTTTATTTATTTCTATGAACAAAGTTACATGTAAAAATATTTATAAAACATAATTCGAACAAATATACGAACAAAATCCTATTTGGACACTACATATATTGTTTATTGTCAATATTAACTTCTGAAATAAATGAATTGTACAGTTTTTGATAGTTCTCTTATCTTCTTTTTTTAATGATTCGTTGCTGCCAATTTTTCTGCTTGACAATATTTATGCACGTTTTGGCAGTTAGTTTATCGACAGGGTTTATGCATTTTTAAGGGCAACAATTGTGCCTCTTTTATATCAGACTTGTTCCTGCATTGTCATGGATCACAGTCTATTTTGCGTTGCTTTGATGATATGTTTGCTTTAGATAATCCTGAATTTGTTTATGTACTGTTGAAATTAACCAAAGGGAGCTTGCTATTAATTTTATTACGGACAACAGTACTTGTCCTATTCTATATTTTGATATTTTAGCTTCACATTGGAAACTATATACAAGAATTTACGTTAAAAAAAAGAGGATTTTTCGTTCCCTATTATGGTCGGGGATATTCCTTTCTTACGGTGCGTATATTTCACAACTTGTTCGCTATTCACGTGTCTGTAAATGCGTTTTAGATGTCGATGGTCAACAATAATTTATATATAACCGACGAATTATTAAATCGGGGATGTTGTTACCACAAATTGATGAAAGTGTTACTAAATTCCTTCATAAATACAATGACTTTTAAGAAGGTTTGGTTGTACATGTAGAAGAGAAGCGAAAGATACCAAAGAACATTCAAACTCAAAAGTCGAAAACAAACTAACAATGTCATGGCAAAAAGACAACGGAACACGACGATAAGACAACCAACAGTACACAAAACATAACTTTGATTGGTTTTGTTATAAATAGGCCGTAAGTTTTCTTAACTGAATTGTTTCATATGTCTCATGTCGGGCCTTTTATAGCCGACTATACGGTATGGAGTTTTCTCATTGTTGATGGCCGTACGGCTACCTATAATTGCTTACACCGATCACCTTCATTTGAACGTTGGTGGATAGTTGTCTCATTGGCAATCATACCACATATCCTTAATTTATATAAGCGTTGTATGAATATGGAATCAAGTATGAGTCATTCGTGAAAAATTTATTGTTCAAGCGACCGAACAAGAAGTATAGATTGACTTTAGTTTGGAATTGTTAAATATAATACATTGAAAGACATTCTTACAATAATCTGATTTTTTTATTAGTATGGTAATGTCACGATACCTAAAATACACATAGTTTGCAAAAAAAAGTTTTTCTGAGAGACCAAAAATAATCGTATTTTTATAAATGTAAATGTAAGGATATTTTGTATGATTGCCGATAAAAAAAAAACTATACACCACAGTTCAAATGATATGAATATAAGAAATTATAGGTAACTGTACGGCATTCCTAAATGAGAAAAAAACATATCGTATCATGTCATTATAAAAGACTCTGACATGAAAAATATTATGGAACAATTCAAAGAAGAAAACATCTTGATTTATTACAATACAATTTACGAAAAAAAACATAACAGACATGATCCATGACAACCTATGAATTACAGACTCTTGATTTGGGACAGGCGCATAAATAATTTTGCGGGATTAAATCATTACAGTTGGAAGTCCAAAATCAAATACGAAGTTGAAAAGCATTGAATACCAAAAGTCCGAAAAGTTAACCTTTGAACCAAATACTGCTACGATTACCTATGCCTGAGGGTATAAATAGATTACTCATTATAAAGTTTTTAATTCTATATATACAGTAAATTTTCAGAAATTTCAAAAAAAGTGATATGGAAAAATAAATGAATAATATGAAGTTATCACAGTTTTTTTCTTCTAATGTACATCTTGATTGTTAGAAATAAACAGAATGACTTTAAAACTTTTCGCCACTGTGTATCTCTTGCATATACTTTATAACATGTTCTCGGGTTTTGCAATGATGTGTTGTGATGGTCTTTGAGTCTTCTCTTAAACTATATTGTTTAAAAGATTTAATGACAAAAATGTCTTCACGTTCAGGAATGACATACACTGGGAACGTACATTTTTCATTAAAAGACTGCAAACATGATAGAATATCATCAACTAATTCAATTGCAGCTACCTCACTATTTTCGGGTGTCAAGGGTTTTTCTTCCATTTTGTAATTTTCGTACACATAGAAGAGACAATTTTTGAACATATAGCTTGTTAACAAATTATTTTTTATGCAATTCTGAATGTGTATATTCGAACTATGGTTATTTACAAGCCATAGATAAATTAACTTGCAATGACGATAACCTTCTAGAAAATACAGCGGCAAAACATTTTTTAGCAACTCGGTCTCAACAGGTGAACAAGAAATTCTCATAAGTGTTTCCGACTGTACAAAATATTTTGTTTGAAAAAGTAATAAGCAGCCTTTGTTTTTGATTCTGTCATTTTGATTCAGTAATTCACATCTACCACCTTTAGTAGGCCACCATTCCGTTTTTCTAATAGCAGGCACGAGATCAATACTTATAATTTCATCTTTGTAAGCGCACCCAAACAAACGAATTTCCAATGTCACCACCGGTTTGTCAGATTCCTCAGAATTTTTCAACTTCCATAAAATTATGTCTTTTGATTTCCAAATATGTTCATCCAAAACAATTGTTTTCACTGCTCTAGAAAATGCCAATCGAACCTCTGATATTTTACACCGACCTTCGCTGTTAAAAAATACTGTAAATGTCTGGGGTATGTCTTTGTTTGCATTGAGTGTAACAAATTCTTCTTCAATGTTCACATCATCAACTGTACACAATTTCTGGATTTCGCCCATACAAAATATAAAATCAAACTCATTTAGGTCGCCAATTTTTGTCCCCTCTTCTGAACTTCCTGATCTTTGAAGTGTACATATTAATCTTTTATCCTTTTCACCAATAGCTTTGCACAGTTCCTCAGCAAAATTTATTACAGTTCGTTTAATTAGTTCACTTTCTTTGTCGTCCCATGGAGCCCCTACTCCTCTCTGTTTTAAAAGTGAGTGTTTGAATTTTTTATTGATTTCAGATTGTAACTTAAATCTTGAAACTTCATAAGGTGTTTTTCCGTTTCTATCTTTACATTCCAAGTAATCACATTTGACAAATTTGCCTTCCACGTAATCACATTTGACAAATTTGCCTTCCAAGTAATCAAATATGTCCAATTCTCTCTGCAATATCGCCACGTAGTGAAATACTGTTGATTGACATTCATCAGGTTTTAGAAATTTCATGGTTTTGATATAATACTGGGTAAGCTGTTTATGATTTTCCATTGATACAGCAGCAAGCAATACGGATCTTCCAAATTTATCAGTAATGTTCAAGTCTGCTCCCTCCTTGATGAGAAGCTTAACTGAACTAATTGCATTTGCAAAAAACACCGGTGTACGGTCGAAAATATCTTTTTGGTTAACGTTTGCACCAGCCTTGAGTAACATTTCAGCAATTTTATTTCTTTTTTTGTTGTAAGTATCCAACAGCTTTTGGTCACTGGTGGAAGAAATATCGTGATAAATATTGGACACAAATTCTTTTGACATTATCATATGCAGTGGACCTAATTTCATTTTGTTCGAAGTGTTAACATCATATTCATAGACTTTGTGTAAAAGAATTTTGAGTGCTTCTCCTCTGTTACAACAATCCATATCTTCACGTCTTATTAGCTCAAGCAAAGGTGTATTTCCTAGAACATTTTTATGCCCGAATGCTCTTTTAAAGAAATCTATGTCTTTCGTGGATTGCAGATTACGCACATGACTACCAAATTTGTAGAATTCAAAAGTATTTCCAATTTTAAAATATTTATGAAAAACGTTATTACCGTCTTCGTCTATTGAATCTGTGTCTTTCAAAAAATCATCTATATAAAACAGTACATCAAATAGATTTTACATAGTAAACAATTTGCTATTTTCAATAGGGAAATATCAATAATTGCGGTTGCCGCTAGTGAAACTTTTATGATGCATGCCATTGGTTGAGTAACACTAATGGATAGGATCAGCTTACCCTCTCGGAACACATGAGATAACCTTCAGTATTTGATAAGGTTCATGTTATGTTTCTCAGTCTAATGGGTTCTTTTTTTTTAAATTGTTTGTGTTTTCGTCGTCTTCATTTATTAGCTATGGCTTTGTCAGGGTTTTTTTTCGACTTATGAGGTTCCACTTCCTTTTTCTACCGATTGAATTAAAACAAATGCTGTTTAGCCATTAAGAAGATATATATTAATACAATGTTATCAAAACGAAAAATTAAAATGAGGTTTTATGTATATAGACTACCGCATCATACGATCATGCGCCATATGCCACCATTAATGTTTAAAAGTTGAAATAAATAAATTTTAATAAATAAAAAAAAGTATCAATACATAAAGTTTTTAATGTTTTACCATCGAACCCTCTAGTAGTTCTTGATTTGTTCATTTCACAGGATACATTATCAATGTCTTCTTCTGCAGATTCCGCGTTCTGTAAAGACGATTCTAAAAAATAAATTAGATATCTGGCTGAAGGTAGATCGAGTGTCTTTTTCTGATCATCACTTCTTGGCATGTTGCAAAAATACTTTTTATCATTAGAATATTTCATCAAGTATCATTCAATATTATATATAGCAGAAAGATCGAAAACTTGAAATTGATAAAGATTCAACTATAAAAAAAAATAATTGTTAGGTGTATTTTAAATTTTTTGAAAAAATCCTATTCAAATAAAGGGCAGCTAACTGTTTTGAAAATGAATGGACAATTTGTTGGTTTTTTTCCGTCATCCCTATTTTTAATTGATATTTCTGAAGCCTTTATAAAAAGCAAATATCTCGTTTAATCTAAACCAATTCTTTAGTTTAATGTTTCCTCCATAAGGAAAAAATAAGTCTCCTCTATATAACCCATATAGAATAAGTGTGATTTCGTTAATTTCAACGAAAAAAATGCCCAGTTTTTATATTGAAATTTGAAAGCACACATTGACTCAGAGATCTTTTACAGAAGTTTGAGAACAATCTATCGTCGAACATTGAAACACCCAGCTACTTTAAATGTAGACATAATCTTTGCTTTTATTAGTCGAGTCTTTATAAAGTTTATTGAATAATGCACAGTTATATCCCAATTGGGTTGAAGGCAGACATAAATCAACAAAATAAGTTTACAATACATCATAAAAAACAATAAAAGAACAAAACATCATGTAGTTATTGAGTCCACCCGCCTCTGAGTGACCATGCCTTTTTAAAAAAAGGACGGACACGAAAAACATAAATCCAATTTATTAAAATTATCTATATTATCTATATTAGAATAGGTATTTTTAACTTTCTGTAAAAATTCAAGTCTCAAATTCTTTTTTTGTACATATGAATAAAAAAATGTTCTTCATCATCTATTTTATTTAGACAACAATGTTGACATAAACGTTCTTCTCTTTTTATATTTTTGTATCTGCTTAGTTCAATTTCCAAAATATGGTCACTTACCCTTTATTTAGTAAATCTTATACAAGTAACGTGTGTGACAAGACTACACTGTATATTGTTTATTCAAACACGATTTTATTATTCTTATACCATTTCATTGAAGTGAGAATGGTGTTTTTAAAAAAAGAAATATGACAGTTGTTATCTATTCGTTTGATATGTTTGAGCTTTTGAATTTGCCATTCGATTAGGGACTTTCCTCGGAGTTCAGTATTTTTGTGATTTTACTTTTTTTTTTATCACAAAATGTTTTAACATAATTCAATGAAATGACGTTGACACAATTACCGCGACACAAATGTGAAATCTATATACAATTCAGATGTTTGAATACCCCTTCAACAACAAACAATATTTCAGTATAAAAATAGAAGTTTAAACATTTTAAGTTTAAACAACAAACCATCGAACTGTCGGTTGACGAAGGAAGCCTATACATAATACACATAAATAATACATTATTGTTTGGTTAAATGAGGCTGAGACACTTTATTTTGGAATAAAATATGAAATTTTTTCGCCAGATGTTTTACAATTCGTACTCAAGCCATACAAATACCCAACGCGTAACTTATCCGAATTTAATAACCTCACACCACATTTTTCTACAATAATTAAAAAAAAAGGTTAGTATAATCCCGTCATTTTGCTATTGTGATATAGTGTTATGGTAATATTTCATTATTATTGTCTTTCATTTTTGCTTATGTGCATTGTCTAAATGCCATTTTGTTTTAGTTTTAATATAGTGATAGAAATTATAATACGAGGTTGACTGCTGTACCCCTATTTTTGACATTTTTACCTAGTATGTCTATGTTTTGTTAACATTGTTGTCAATATAATGAAATTTTCTGCGACTGTAATACAAGTGAGAGGTCTAGCTAGCTATAAAACCAGGTAAAATCTACAATTTTCAACATAAGGAAATGCTGTTCCAAATCCGGAATATGACAGTTGTTTTTTCATTCGTTTGATTGTTTAAACTTTTCATTTTGCCATTTGATGAGGGACTTTCCATTTTGAATTTTCCTTAGAGTTTTGAATTTCATATTTTGCTTTTTAATATGTTTGCCAAAGGCATTGAACCCTCCGGCAGCTCTAAATTGGTCAAATTTATGACGTATATTAACATTTTCTTCGTCTGAAGATTCCTCGTTTCTTGAATAATCATCTGTAAAAACAGAAAAAAAAACAATGAATACAGTATAATCATTAACAAAACTGTCAAAGAAGTATCCAAAAAAAACGTGAATCAGGTTGGCTGTTTGGTTTGAAAGATCTGAGAAATGATACGAACATGTACACGATTTAACCACATTTGTATATGTGATAAAGAATCTTCATGTAATTGTTGTTTGATGAGTTTATAAATGACTATCATTAATGGTTTATTCAAAAACGTTTGTTCGAGAAATTATTTCCGAAATAGTGACAGGCAAATTGGGAGTCAACCACTGGATGTTCCATTTTTAAGTGCTATTTTGGAAATTGTAGGGTAGCTTCTGGCAAAAGTCGATTGACATTGTTAATTTAAATACAATTTTCGTTTTCAAGAAGTTCATGAAATATTTATATATATATTATATGCGAGATAAAATAAAGTTAAAAGCTAAAACATATAACACGATACGAAATATATAAAAATAAGGAGATGTAGTATGATTGCCAATGATACAACTATCAACCGAATTTCAAATAAAATGTATGTAAGCAATTATATGCAACCGTTCGGCCTTCAACAATGAAACAATATATCGTATAGTCGGGTTCGAAAGGCCCCGCCATGAAAGCGTTTCTATTTTATGATGGCACCATCAACGTTATGGCACCCTCAACGGAATTGGGGACATATTGTTTTTCTACGTTTCTTTTTTCCTTATTTGTATTCTTCTTCAACACATGTTGTCCGCGCTAGTTATCGGAATTGAATGGACCATTGTTGATGGAACTATGCTATAATGTTGACTACCATATGAAGTTGTGCACCTGACTTTGGAATGTGCAAGATGGCTGCGGTTACCATGGACACTGCAAAATTTGATTTTCTATTCAAAATTCTAAATCTTTCATTATAAGACATAACTGGATGAACCATTGTTCAAATGATACCTGATATGCCAAGATGTGCAGACAGTATTTAGAAATTCCAAAATGGCCGCCATTGTCATGGAAACAGGGCAAATGTTTACATAACATTAACCCTATAATGGGAAAATACAACAAATCTGTTTTTTTTCGGAATTTTGGAAATGGTCACGGTTACCATGGCAACAGCAAAAACTTTCTGAACATAAACAGAAATATTACCTGGCGTTTCAGGAGTTGATTTTCGACTTCGGAATTTTCAAAATGGCTGCCGTTACCATGAAAAATGCAAAAATGTCAAAAATATTTCAAAATGCACCAAACTTTATGAAACTTTACAAAAATGTTATTTGCATTGTAGATGCGCTTTTTGATATTAGAATTTGCAAAATGGCTGCCGTTTACTTAGCAATTTGGGTGGGGGGGGACGAGGGTGCCTTCCGTTATTGCTAGCAATTGAAAATCTAGTTTTTTGTGTTTGTTTTTTTCTCGTCAATACGAGTCATAATATGAGGCAGGCGTAACCTGTGAAAGGGGACGAAGTCTGTATGCATTATATTTTAAATTCAAGCATATTTTAACTTCAGAATCTGTTAAAAAAGAAACGGAAATACGGAAACGTTTCCGACGTTGGTCCTGTTGTTAGGGACTTTAGTTGTGACGTCATTTTCAATGTAAACAAAGAAACGCTATGATTTCATTAGTATGTTGATTCTTATATTGATTTTTAGTTTTTTTTGATATGCTTAATGTTATAAGGCACGTCCCCATAATATGTTACTCAAATCCCGAGATAAACGATACCGGAAAAGATTTCTGCGCAGATGCGGGAAATTAAAAAAAGTCTGAAAAAAAATTTAACGATTTTGAGTTCATTAGTAGATTAATTTTTTTCTTTTCTCTTTTTTTCTTTTTTTTTCTTTTTTTTTAATTTTTCTACCGTAATTAGGAACTTCGTTCTCATTTTAATAGATTCTCAGATATACAGAGCGAAGTATATCCCATCATCGGCCCAGTTAGAAATTCTAAAATCTTTTTTTATTGGTTTTA